CTGGGTGTTGCTTTGCCACTGATAGGGCCTGGCTTTGGAAGCACCAGTTCCTACACTGGGATCCCCAAAACCCCACTTTCCTCTGCAGAGAGATTACCCCAGCCTGCCCCAGCTGACAGCCCTGGTCAGCTGCGTGAGCAGTACCCTGGGTCTAGGAACACCAGCAAAGCCCAGCTGGGTCTTCCCATCTCCTCCCCTTCATTCCCAATGAACCCCACCAGCCAGGACCATGCTCCAAGCTGGGGTCCTCACCAGTGCCTGGTAAACCAGGAAAAGCTAAGTCAATCACTTGTTGTGTTCCTTGTTCATAAAAGTATATAGCGAGTTTATTCTGTGATAGAATTTGAGAACGTTTCTTCAGTAGCAGATAATGCACTGGGCAGAGCATGCAGCGTTTTTTTTACTAAAGACTGATTTCACACTATCTGCAGAGAAGTGAGCATTCTCCTCAGCTTAGCAAGCTCCACGTAAGACTGATGGGGCAGAGGCCACAAGGGCTGAAAACCCACATTCAGTATAGACCCAAGGGTGCTGTGTGAGACCAGCGAGCCATGAAGAGGGACAAAGACATTTACTGAGCACATTCCCATCAGACAAAGGAGTAACAAAAGGGCAAGCAAACCTAATTAAAAAAATACCCTATAAAGAAGTTATTTGGTCATAAATGGACACCAGGGTGGAAGCATCAGATATGATGGTTGCCAGGTCTTTTTTCCTCCCAGAAGGTCATGCAGCCCTTTGACTAGTAAACTTTAAGAACCACAGTTGTAAAGTCTATTCCAGCCTATGTTCTTTGCCTGCAGAGAGAAATAGAGTGCACGAGTCTGTATTTCAGGTGACTGGGGCCAAGGATAACTCAAAAGGTCTTCAGAAAGGATAAAACCAGCCTTTGTTGTACAGCAGCTCCCAAACCATGATTTTGGTAGAAAATAGGCACAGTCATATGAAAAGCTACACACAGCACACAAAAGGCAACAAACAGAAGTATGTGAGCTCAGGCAATGGCTCAATCACTTTAACATCAGCTGAAGCTTTGAAAATGCGATTAACATACAGTTAGGAGACACTCCTCTGCATCTCCAGAAGAGAGCAGCCAGCCCCAGAGCAGACAAGGTGCATAAGCCCCTGTGTGCCATTGTCCACAGGGAGCAAAAGGGTCCCAGGTGCTTCCTTGGTGTTGTGGAAAGAAGTAGACAGTTCATTGAGCAGTTTGATTTTTATGATATTTAGCATAACAAACCCATCAAGGTCAACCAGAAATAGTCACAAGACATAGGTATTCACACCATACGTTGGCATCCTTTGATAAAAGGCTGTGCATCTCCTGTAGCACTTAAAAAGCGGTACCTATTTTTAAATGTAGGTCTCCAAATGATGTGTTGGAGTGGGAAGCAGCATTTAGAGCCTAGTTTTGTGGCTCTGATTTGCGTAAGACTATGCTCTCACATAGCAGGGGCAATAATGAACTCCATGGGCTGCTCCCAACCGGGTCCCGCTGGCAGTACTGCCTCTTGAGCCATCACAGCCTGGTGGGGGTCGGATCTGTGCCAGTGCAAATCTTCCCTTCAATTGTTTGAGTTTTGGATGAGGACTGACTTGCACAGACCTTTAAATGTGAGCCTCGCTGAGATTTGCTGAAGGCCAGTTCAGCACATGCTGTCCATTTAAAGGTCAGCAGTTCAACAATGAGCTTCCCCAGGCAGAAACAGGCACTGGCCAGGATCAGCCATTATCATTCAGACAGACCATAAATTACTTTATACTTCAGATTGGGTGCTAAAAGCAAGAACCTGACTGTCTCCTAGACTGTGAGGGACACCTGAAACCTGGATCTTTCTCAGGTGTAGCCAGGGGCTCTTTCCCCTCCCTTCCTTCACAGCTGAGCACTGGCACAGCACCAACCCTGCTGCAGCCCCATGCTCAGCCCAGCTCCCCACAGCCCCATGTGCTTCCCATATAATCTCAGTTGTTGTTCTAGGCAGACAGCTCTGTTTTCACTTAAGGCGATTCTATGCCTTTCATTGTGTTTTTAATTTTCATTTCACCAAGATTCACTCCCATGATTGTGCTTTCTGGCATCTTCCAGCTTTTGTCCTTTATTTTTACTGCTGGAGTCAGAGATGATTATCTCTCAGAAAGAGTTCTCAGCTGCATTATGTTGATGGTAAGTGCTGTTTTTCCTGCCCTGTCTGATTTTCCATGCAAGATGCTTTTCATATAGCTTTAAGTGTTTTATTATTTTCAAATTGGTTGCCACGTCTCCAAGTTTCCCTTTCCCTGCTGTGGAAAGTGCCAGCATTGCTGTAAGGAGGGGACTGCAGCCTCTGGCAGGCCTGAAGAAGCAATCAGCTGAATCTTGGAGAGAACCACAGAAACCTCCCACAAATGCAAGCAGCTCTGGGGCACTGTGACTTCCTTGGCTGGTACCACAGTATCTTTGAGCACCTCTCTGTGGACAGCCAGGGCACGGCTCCCTGCGAAACAGCAATGGGATCACAGGCTTCCCTACAGCCAGCACATTTGGGTGCTGGTACGCAAGCTGTGACACCTCCATCCTTACCAGCACATTATCCAGAATGACATGGAGATCCTTCAAGCCATCACTTCTGCTGCCAGCACTGAGAGATGCTTGGGCAGCAGGGAAGCACTGGTGAAGACCAGGGCTAAAGACAGATCCCAATGCCATCAAAAGTATGAGCTGGACCTGGCCAAGACTGTCCACCAGAGCATCTTTTTCTCCAACGCAGGAAGCTCCTGAAGACGCTACATGAATCTCCAACCATGAATAACATCTTCAGAAAAACACCTTCCTTCTCTGTTCAGACAGAGGATAAACGCATTCCCCAGCCTTCCCCACATTTCCTTCCCAGCACCATAGCTGCCTACTCACATGTTGGACCACCAGTTCTCAGCTGCTTCTTCAGCCACCTTTACAGGTCCACAGTGGCCTCTCGCTGGTCCTACACACATATTATATAGGGCATACAATAAGGTCTCTCAATCACTTATTGCACTAGTACCCAAAGCTAGTGGAGCAGACAACACTGTAAGAGAAGGCAAGAACATTAAAACACTGTCCCCACATTGTCACAGCAACCACAAAAAAGTGCAACAAGGTTCTTGTTCAGCTGACCCTGATGCATATGCCCTACATGGGACACTTGTCTGGCTTCAGCCAAGTCAGTGCTGTAACCTCAGCATCTGAGTTTTTTCCTCCCTGCCTACTTGTCAGATTCCTCCATTGCTCATCTCTCAGCTCCACAATACCTCCAAGCAGGTCTGTGCCCATACAAGACCCTCACATTATACAACATCCCACAGGCTTGTGAAATAATATATAGTCATGTCACTACAATAGAGCAAGCACTACTGAGAGCCACTGCCAGCTCAGCAGTTTTCTTTTCAATCAAAGCAGCATTTTTTATTTTTTGTAATAGTTTTCTAGTTTTCCCCCCTTTGGCATTTTCATTAGAAGACCAACAGGAAAAAAAGCCCTCAACAATCCCTGAGTGAAAGTCATAAGCAGCCTGACACCTGGTAATGAGATATTTCAAGCTATGGGCTGGCATTTTTATGGTATTTCTAAACCAAGCACTCAATCAAGTGAACTTAGAATGGAAAGTTTGTTACTCCCAGGCATATGTCTTAAGGTTTTGCATCTTCTATTTCAGCAATGGAAGAATACAGTACAAATAAGGCAGGCAAATACCTGGCAAGTAAATACTTTTGCCGCAACATAATTATTCCCCTCAATGGAAAGGCTTCCAAGACAGCTTCTGAGACAGTACTCAGCATTCACAGCTGACCTGAGAACCTCTTGGCCCCTCATTTGAAATGTCTCATTATTTTTCTTAAGGAAACAGAGCTCAGACAGTCCCTTATTTTGTCCTCCCAGTTCTCTTCCCTTCCCCAAACAGCTCTGAAATCCACCAGCCAGCTTCACTCAAGGCCTAAACAGTCCAGGATCATCCATTTCCAGAAGCTCTTATATTAAAATGTATGCATAAGAGATGAGAGATATTACTGCTGTTGCACAGCAACAACTCAAAGATGATACCTGCTGAACCACTCAAGTCCAGAAGCTGTTGCAAGAGGGCCCTTCACCCTGTGCCACCTGGCAGCTAGTGTCTGCCCAACACACAGACTTTCAGCAAAGCTTTCCCTCCTTCCTCCCTCCCTCCCTCCTGAGACTTATGGCACTAAAAGTGGGAAGCAATTCTCTAAGGGTGAGAAACCCCAAGCCCCACAAAATGGGAAGGGGCAGGGCAGCAGCAAGGCTGCCAGAACCTGGCTGAGCCAGCATGATGGAGTGTGCTTTGTGCAAGTGAGCAAAAGCTCCTCCCTGCAGAGCTTCCACCACCACTCCCAGCTAAAAGCGCCAGGCATGGGGGCACCTGAGAGCACCCGGCACACAAGCACAGAAAAGCAGGACAAGAAGATGATGAGCAGGTTCCTACCAGCAGAAAGGCAGGGAACCTGCACATTGAACGTTATCTCCATCACCAATCTCCACTTTGAGCACCCAACTCCTCACAAGACAATAAAGCTTTCACCCCCCCACCCACACATCTGCAACTAAATTCCTGTGAGATAACTGGGATGTTTCCACTCCCCTCCCACTGCAGCCACAGCTCACTGAGGCACCCAAAAGTAGAGCAGAGCCACCCCAGCAGGCACCTGCTGCGCATGAAGAAGGGGGAGAAGAGTCAGCCTCTTGTGCTGTTGTCTCACTTGTCTCCTGGTTGATGCAAGGAACGGAAGGGTTCTGTCAAAGCACAGCCATGCTTCGGCCACTCACTCATCTCCCACAACAAATGATGCCATCCAAATGTCAGTGCTAATTGCAGAGAGAGGAAAATCATCTGCATTCTGCCCATAACAATCCATTGTTATTTTTATGCACACACACACACAGATACGAGTAAGGAACCCTTCTCATTTCAAGCTGTGCTATTATGCTAACTACAGAGAAATAAATATGCCACACTGTAGCTAATAAGTGTCATTCACATCAGTATTTATTCCAAACATGTTTCCCCCATCATGTCTGTTCTGCCTGGAATTGCTCATCACTAAAGAGGAGACCTTTATTTCTAGTGATTTAAGCAGACAGGAGAGAGTTAGCAATTAAAGCACACTTTTGTACAATTTAATTCTTTTAATTTCAGCTATCAGGGAGCGTTATCTGCTATCACTGTACCTTTCTATTTCTGGAACCATCACCTAGCAGCACTGGGCTCGTACTTCACCAGTTTGCAAGATGGGTTCTCCCACATGAGCATGGGAACAGGGCTGACTCCTGGCAAGCAATGGGCTTGTGGTTCTCAGCTCCATGCTGTGCAATGTAGGACTGGGTCTCTATGAGGAAACAGGATCAGAGTAATTTTCATTCATGCTCAGACACATTCCTGTGCCCCAGCTCCCTGACACTCCATATGCATTTCATGCTCACCCAGGACCTGTGTTAGTTGGTATCTGTGGGAGACTGTTGCACTGTGAGCTGCCCCAGTGCTTCCACAGTCACACTGGGAGCTGCCAGCAGCTGATCCAGGCACCTTCAGTTGCTCCCTTGAGAGATTATTTCTGTGCTCATCAAAGGCTGGCGAGGACTAAATGTCATTCAAGAAAAGTATTTCGGAGCTAAAAATACTCTCACGACTTTTGCTTCCTTCCCAGAGCAAACGTCTGCTTGGCAGGTAGCAGATGAATTTAGTGGTCCTACGACACACGTCTCATCATCCGCCTGACAGCGCTTCACACACACAGTAAGGCATCACACCAAGCTCAAACTCCCGCTACCTGGGCTGAACTATAACCATTTTTCACATTAAACTGGAGATAGTACTGAGTCAGAAATCCTCCACCGGTGGTGGGAAACCAGCAAGGCTTTAACTGCTGCCCAAGAAGGACAGGTCCACTTGCTCATCCACACCACGTAAACAGAAGCAATGACCCACAGCCCACCTGGCTCAGGTAAAAATGGTTTCAAGTCTGAGGAGCACAGATGCTTCACTGAGGCTGATGTTCCTGTACTAAGGAATGAATCCAAAGGACTGAACGAGGGCCAGAGCTAATTACCAGCCCACGCAGACTTGTGGATTATATGTCGAGGATCCTGTTATGCAAGAATACAGCTGGGCATGTTATTGCAAGTGAGGAGACAGCCATCTATGTGAATTGCAGAGGTGTGGGGGAAAAAGGAAAAGAAAATCCTTCCATTTTCTCTCTTTTTCATTTATACAGTTAAGGGCCTGGTTTGTAAAGATACTGAAAACCTAAAGTTCTCATTGATGTCCCTGGACTTTTCTCTTTAAAACTGCACAGAACAGTGAACCAAACACCAATTAGGCTCCATCCATAGAGCTAATGAGACTGGGAAAGTACCCCAGAGGTGGGTTTCAGCAGCAGCTTTTCTTTTGACCTCACTTGTCACTTGCTTTTCTCCTGCTCCCAGATATAATCCTTGTTCCTTCCTGCTTACAGCCTGAAAGCACAATTTACTTGCATCAGTGGAAGACAACAAGAACGGTTATGCCACATTTCTTCCCCACAATAGAAGGGGCAAATCCCGCTCTAATCTAGCTGGGAAGATGAAGACGGCAGGGTGTTGCACACACACATTTCTATCCAAGATCACATACCAAGTATTTTGCTACTCCTACCTTTTTCTTATTTTCTTATATTAGGGCAAGAGAGACATCTAGAGATCATAGGCAGGGGATTGCAAGCTTCTGGAAAAACAGTTTTCTGTGTAGCACGATGTGTTCACAGATTGGGAACAATGAATAAAATGAATGAAATATGAAACAAATTGACTCTTGGTTATAAATAAGTAAGGCCCAAGAGGGAATAGCAATGGATTATAGAGTAGCAGGAACACAGTCTGTTTCTGTGGCTTGCCCTCACACACCACCCCCAAACTGTGAAGAAAAGCACCTCCTTGGAAGACAGAACTTCTGGGATGGGTCACACACCCTGCTAGGGCAGCCTGTCCAAAAGCACACAATGCTCCTGGAATGCATGCACAATGATTAACTGCAGCACTAGCAGATAAAACTTCCAATAAAATGGAACTAAGATAGACCTGGAACTTGAATGCTGCCCTTTTAATCCCAAATCAAAGGCACATGTCCAACCCACCAGCACAATTGCACCAACAGCATCACTATTTTCAAGCCAGTTACAAGAATGATGAGATGGGGTGTCCTGTGCTTCCCAGTGCACCAATGGTACGGATTTTAACTTGTGCTCCCTATGTAAATACACACAGGTCCATGTTAGCAGCCACACAGTGGGCAGGAAGGTTGCTGGACCCAGTGTAGTCAGATCAAGAACAGGACGGCTTTCAAAACCATGGGTACAACTAGGCAACGATGGGTACCAGGACAACCTGATTACAGTAAGAATGGTCCTAGCGAAGCTCAAAACTCTCATTACCTTCACCAGAACCACAACATTTCCTTGTATGTGCTCTCATCTGTTTCTAGTGCTTTTGTGAGATTATCCTTATGTATCTCATTCAGTAAATGAAACTGGATCAACTGGAAAATAAGCAGAAAGTTTTATGCCTCCAGACATCCTCATTTGCTTTGCCTGAGAACAGGACAAGGTCAGTGGATTCTTTTCTCCCCCAGCAGAAGATGCACTTTCACATATCAAGCAATAAGGTCAGCCCAGTTATTCTTATCACTTGGTATGTCAGCATTTCTTTCTCTGTATAAACAGTTGTAAACAAGACCAAATTACTCCAGGTCATGAGCGGGAAATCAAAACACAACGTACCAGAGCAAGATGGTGAAAACCAGATACTTCTCTTTTTAAAAGAACTGTGTGAGTTAAGTGGCAGCTCTTGAGCAGAGAAAGCATCAGAGGCAAGAGCAAGAACAGAGGCTACCAGCTGTTGAAACTCCTTGGCTCTACTGGAATAGTTCTCTGGACTAAACTGTGGTTAAATCCACCCAGATATTTACTGGGAGCCTGATATTTGCATTAACTGGCAGTAAGACACTGAACTGAAGTAAGCCTCGTCTTAAACCTACATTAAATAGTGTTAGACAAGGCAAAACATCTTGTTATTTCAGAGCATGCAATTTTAATTAAAACCCCCCAAAATAATGGCTTGGGCAGTCCCAGATCCTTTACAAACAAATGGTGTCTTCTGTCCTCTACCATCAGCCTCATCTGCACATCCTGACCTGCACATCACCGTGCTCCCTGCTCCTGCATCCTGCAGGTAGGACCCCACACCAGCCATGAGCATTTCTTCCTTCTTTCACTGCTGTGAAATAACTACTTGGTGCAAAATCCACTGGCGCAAGTTCTAAAGCCTCGCTTGCCACTTCAGCTTTCTGCCACACCACCGCACACATCCTTGTCTGTTGCTGCTGGCTTTCATCTAGAGTCTGGTAGGCAAAAAGAGACAAGATAACTGCTAGGACACTGGAGATCCAGATGTAATTACTGCTTGCATTTCTGGTGCAAGTAACTGGGGCATGAGTTTGAGAAACAGAACACACGCTCCAGTCAGGGGAACGGAGCTGACTCAATTACCCGTTGTGGAAAACAAACAAAAGGATGAGACCTTAGATGAAGTCAGGTCGACGGAGCGGTTTGCCTTAGTCGATGAGGAATGGGTTAGAGATCAGTTGAGCAATCTGGACATCCATAAATCCATGGGTCCAGATGGGATGCACCCGCGGGTGCTGAGGGAACTGGCGGAAGTCATTGCTAGACCACTCACCATCATCTTTACCAAGTCCTGGGAGACGGGAGAGGTGCCTGAGGACTGGAGGAAGGCGAATGTCACTCCAGTCTTCAAAAAGGGCAAGAAGGAGGACCCGGGTAACTATAGACCGGTCAGCCTCACCTCCATCCCTGGGAAAGTGATGGAGCACCTTATCCTTGGTGCCATCTTAAGGCATATCAAGGATAAGAGGGTTATGAGGGGCAGTCAACATGGCTTCACCAGGGGGAAATCATGTTTGACCAATCTCTTAGCCTTTTATGAGGAAATAACACGGTGGATGGATGATGGCAGAGGTGGATGTGGTCTACCTTGACTTCAGCAAAGCATTTGACACAGTCTCCCACAGCATCCTCACGGCTAAATTGAGGAAGTGTGGACTGGATGATCAGGTAGTGAGGTGGACTGCGAACTGGCTGAAGGAGAGAAGCCAGAGAGTTGTAGTCTATGGGGCGGAGTCTAGTTGGAGGCCTGTAACTAGTGGAGTGCCTCAAGGGTCAGTACTGGGACCGGTATTATTTAATATATTCATCAATGATTTAGATGAGGGAATTGAGTGTACTATCAGCAAGTTTGCTGATGACACTAAGCTGGGAGGAGTGGCTGACACGCCAGAAGGCTGTGCTGCCATCCAGCGAGACCTGGACAGGCTGGAGAGTTGGGCAGGGAATAACGGGATGAAATATAACAAGGGAAAGTGTAGAGTCCTGCATCTGGGCAGGAACAACCCCAGGTTCCAGTATAGGTTGGGAAACGACCTGTTAGAGAGCAGTGTAGGGGAGAGGGACCTGGGGGTCCTAGTGGACGACAGGATGACCATGAGCCAACACTGTGCCCTTGTGGCTAAGAAGGCCAATGACATCCTGGGGTGTATTAGAAGGGGGGTGGTTAGTAGGTCGAGAGAGGTCCTCCTTCCCCTCTACTCTGCCCTGGTGAGACCCCATCTGGAATATTGTGTCCAGTTCTGGGCCCCTCAGTTCAAGAAGGACAGGGAGCTGCTGGAGAGAGTCCAGCGCAGGGCAACAAAGATGATTAAGGGAGTGGAGCATCTCCCTTATGAGGAAAGACTGAGGGAGCTGGGTCTCTATAGTTTGCAGAAGAGGAGACTGAGGGGTGACCTTATTAGTGTCTATAAATATATAAAGGGGGAGTGTCACGAGGATGGAGCCAGGCTCTACTCAGTGGCAAACAATGATAGGACAAGGGGTAATGGGTACAAACTGGAACACAAGAGGTTCCACTTAAACTTGAGAAGGAACTTCTTCTCAGTGAGGGTGACAGAACACTGGAACAGGCTGCCCAGGGAGGTTGTGGAGTCTCCTTCCCTGGAGACATTCAAAACCCGCCTGGACACATTCCTGTGTAACATTATCTAGGTGTTCCTGCTCCGGCAGGGGGATTGGACTAGATGATCTTTTGAGGTCCCTTCCAATCTCTACCATACTGTGATACTGTCTGATACTGTGATGAGAAGGAGAAAGTGTATTTCCTGTGAAGCCACTGTTACGCACCAGGCTTCTTACCCTGTTGGGGTATTTTGAAGATCCACAGTTATCTCATCTCCCGTATTATCTTAAACCAGGTTCTTGCATCAAAGACAGAAAAAAGTCTCTTTGTGAGCCAGAGTACGGGAGAAGTCAGGGTGGTTAGCAAGGAGCAGGGAGACCAGCAGCAGCGCCAAAGCCTCTCTGGACGCCTCTCTCGGATGCTGCCATCTGCTGCCATCTGCTGCCAACTTCTCACTGCAGCAATAAATAGATACTCCTTAATGCGGTTTGAACAATGTTTCATCCTGTTCTAAACAGTGGCATAAGGAGCAATCGGTATCTGGAAGTACTGATCATGTATCTGACACGAGAAGGGAGAGCAGGCTGTACCCCGCAGATGGGTCAGCAACCGTTTCCCAGCTACTTCTAACTTACTATTCGTAACTCAAACCAAGTTCTGACCCCATTTCAGCACTTGTGACTAGGATTACTGACACTTACCTTCTTGTGATCAGCCAAGCAAGTACAGAGGGACTACAGGCAGCTCAGCATCACCATCCATACTGTAACACAAGCCTCCCCACAGCACAATAGCCAGGCAAGCAGCTGTGCTCACACAACCTAGGTGTTGAGGTATGACTTAACAAGCAGAAGCAAACCTCCAGCCTAAAGGCTGAGGCTTTTCTCTACACCTGGAAGGGTATGGAGGTGACACACCACTTCCAGACTCATTCAGTGTTAGACTGCAGGTATCCAGGATGGCACCAAAGGGAAAGCCTGGTAATTCCAGTGGTTGGTTGCAGCAGAGATGCGCCTGAGGAGCCACCCACCCTCACACGTTTCCCCATGGGAGGGTCAGCTGCCCCTGTCCCACTGGGGACTCCACCACCAGCATTCCCTCCCTGCTCCACTGCTACCAAACAACTAACACCCTGTCTTCATTGCCAGTTGCAACCTGTACTGCTCTTTCAGCTTTCCCTCTCACCTCTCCCTATTAATCCTTTTATTACCCAAAATGACAGTTAACTTACCTACAAACTGCTTTCCCAAGGCACATCCTGCAGCTCACAAAACAGCACTGGGGCTTAAAAAAACCCCCGACAGACCCCTTTCAGATTTAAGCATGTTTGAGAATCACGAATTTCTGCGAAGATTTAAAGCAGCTGTGTTGCAGGGCACACATCCTAACCCTAATCCTGTGTGTCAGCTCCCAAATCCTACTTCAGCAGTTCCCAGGATCTCAGCAGCAGTTGCCCAGGAGTAAAGCTCTCATCAGTGAGGCACAAGCTCAGAGATCCCCTTATGAACTCACATCACCTGCAGTGAGCCAGCGAGCAGTCACATTTTTAGCTGTGCTGTGAAAAAGGTGCATCTGCTGCTGCATGCTCCAAGTCATTCTTTCTACATTGGAGCTCTAATTTCCATTTAATAATCCTACAAGTCTTTGGGCTGGCTTGTGAAATAAATTAACAGTCTATTCCCAAGTGCTCCTTCAACTCAGAGTATCAGGAATCCTGTCACCTCCAAGTCTCTGTGGTGGGGAAGGACATACACAGGTAACTGGTTCAGAACTGATGTGTGTGTCCTCTATAAAACTGGTTTAAAACATGAATTTTGGACCAGCAGGGAGCTTGAAGCCCTAGTAAATTCATCTAAAGGAAGCCTTGAAGTGTCACTGACCTTCTTCCACCATGTATCAGAAACTTGTCCTCTATTCGGGACTGAGTCAAGATGGAACAGTGGAATCTTCAGGGTTACTCTGAGCAAGAAATACAAAAGCTCAGGTGTGCATCAGCATTTAGTACCACAGAATTATCTCCACTAATGATACAAAAAAACCCGCAACCCAGTAATGAGTAAGAGCTCATTTGACAAGAAAAAGGGGTCAAGGCAGACTTCTGACTTTGCAACTACTCTCTGTAATTCAATATACAGATCCGTATATTAAGTAAATTTGTTTCAAATCAAACTGAGAACTGTACTGATCACATTTGAATGTTCTGCTGCCACAGGCAATCCACATACTGTGACCTTAAACAGCAGGTGACCAAGTCAAAACAGGTAAAGTATCTCCATTATTCCCCTCATCTTCTCAGTCATGGTGCAAGTCCCTGTTACGGCATGCTGGCATGCACCCCAGAACACAAAGCGTGAGCACTTGCACAGCTCTGCTGCTGGCTCCTTGCTCCTCAGGGAAGAGCCACCGCAGGTGAGACTGTGCTGCTTGTCCACAAAGAGTCAACACCTTCCCCTTTTCTCCCTAACAGACTGCCCTGCAGCAGGTTACATAGTTATGAATACTTACTGCCTGAAGACAGTACGGCTGGCTGTGTCACCTTCCCAGCACAGCCCCTCTGACTTGAGCAGCTATAGGTATCAACAGTCAGGGCATACTGCCAAGAAGAAAAATTGTTTCCAACTGTTTGGATCATGAGAACCACCAATTCAAAAGCTGTTTCACAGCATGCTGAAACAGGCTTGCTACATTTCAATTGGCTCCTTCCCAACAGACTCCAAAGCAAAGCAAGGCAAGGCATTTCCAGCTGCTGTTAAAGGACAATACAATCGCCCAGAAGCTCACTCCCCATTCCACACCATCTGCATGCAGCTCCTCAGCTCCTGTCACCTGCTCTTGTACTGCTTTAAAAGGCATTGATTTTTCTGTATTGAGTACATTACACTCTTACGCATCAGCTTCCTGAAAGAGCAACAACTCATTCAATGCTAAATACTCAGTATGTGCAAGCTCACGCATCCTTATTGTCCCACTCCAGAAACTTAAAAGCTCCTACAGTGACATCTTCATTCAACATGCAAAGCAGCTACACGGCAACTACCCCATTCGAAATGCCTGCTTCAAAGGACTTTCAAAGCAGAAACCCTGAGAAAAAAATCCACTTCTCAGGTACTCCTTAGCTGCAAGATGAGGCACAAGTTTGGGATCTGAAATCAAGCTTCAACCATCTTAATTATCCTACAGCCCTACATCTCATAACCTTTTCAAACGTAACCAGGAAATACCTTCTGGCAAGGCATCTTCTACTATTGCCAACAGGTGAAACTACAGAGTCCCACATATGTAACTGGAGACACACACACCAAGCACCTGAGAGGCGACCCCATGGCATAATAGTGAGTACATAGCTTAGCACAAGAGCTCCCCTGTGGAGGTCATTCTGCACAGCAACCTGTAACTGTCCCAGAAGTTATAACCATTAGAAGTAGGTTATAGCGTTAAAAGAAATAAAAGTTGTGACCGGGGATGGTGTGGAACCCAAACGTCCTCTGAAGCTGGAACTTGAGCACTACTGAAGAGCTGTCTGTTACAAACACTAGCACAGGTAGCGTCTGAAGTCATTAAAATACCGACTGGAAACACCAGAGTCCATTTGAACAATTTATTAGTATCCTCTTTTTTTTACAAGTTTTAGAAAAAGAATCCCAGGATTTTGCCTCCTGTGTGTTTTCGCCTAGCCTCCTCATGGTCCATGATGCCAGCTGAGGTTGTCAGAACAATGTACCTGTGAAGAAAGAACAAATGTTCAGTTGACGGTTCTGTCCTACACTCAAGTTGAGCTGACAACACTAACTTCATTTCTGTATGTACAGTCATGTCGTATTCCTGTCTGTAATTTTCATTACAACAGCAACATCTGTTTCTCTAAGAAAGGGCCTAATGGAAGTAAGGTCAGGTTATCAGACAATAACAAACTCCTCTCACAAGTACAACTCTGCAGCGTGTAAGAAACACCTATAGGCTTCTATTCTCCAAATATTTGTGTCTCAGCAAGATGTCCTCTTGCACATTCCCACTGTATTCAGCTCTTGTAGCAGCAACAATTCCAGAGTTTCTAGACAAGATCTAATTCTATTTTACAAAGACATTTTCCTTCAGAGCAGGCAGAGTTGCCACTGTGGCAGACAGCTCCTCAACTCAGAACACTTTGCCTCTCCATGTTCTGAGCATAGATGAGTAGCTGGATCCGGACTGACACGTGAAGCAGCCTTTGCCGCTGCTAACGCCGACATCTGGATTACCAGCCTACTTCACCCATATTGCTCCAGGTCCAAGAACCTCTTGTCCCACCACTATAAACATTATTCTGCCTTCCCAGTATTTGACTCAAGTGAATTTTGGGAAAGAAAAATACACTGCACAACAGTTGTGGAGGTTTGTTTAACAGAGGCTCTCAAGTCTCTCATCACCTGGTATCTAATCAATTTATACACAATCAGGAAGTTTAATTTAAACTAGTATGAAACTTACTTCCACTGACCTGGTAACTTACATCACTCTTCCGACCTTCTATATATAGCCATTAATACAATTAAAATCATAGAATCACAGAATGGTTTGGGTTGGAAAGGACCTTAAGATCATCCAATTCCAACCCCCCAGCCATGGGCAGGGACACCTCACACTAAACCATGTCACTCAAGGCTCTGTCCAGCCTGGCCTTGGACACTGCCAGGGATGAAGCATTCACCACTTCTCTGGGCAACCCATTCCAGTGCCTCACCACCCTAACAGTAAAGAACTTTTTCCTTATATCTAAGCTGAACTTCCCCTGCTTAAGTTTAAACCCATTCCCCCTTGTCCTATCACTACAGTTCCTGATAAAGAGTCCCTCTCCAGCACCCTTGTAGGCCCTTTTCAGATACTGGACTGTGTAAGAGAAGTCCCATTTTCCCAGTAAATTATAGAACTGGTGAGACCAGGATTTACCAAAGCCAAGCAAAACCAGGGCCCTGCTTAGTTTTAGTGCCCTTTAAAACGGGTTAAAAAGAGCATTTATATGGAAGACTGATTTTTAGACTGGTATCTACCTCCAGACTGATGAGAGCGGAAAGGTGTCAGGCAGGTCTCATTCATATAGTATTAAAGTGCAAGAAAAAACACCCACATTTTTACATACAACTGGGATTTAACTCTTCTCCATACTCACCCAAACTGACGTGAAGGCAGCAGGTTGTTCTGCCACTTTTCCAAATCCTTCAGCTGAACATCAAATCTGGGACTGATTACACCACACTGTAAAACAGAACTCCATTACAAACTGAAGAACTTTATGAACTGCATTTGCACATTTGTCATTCCCATTCACTGGATAAAGGAATTTAACAACTGCAATTAAAATATTTTTGGCAGCGAAAGATCAGAGTACTAAGAAGCCTGCTCTATTACCCGCAATACACACAGGCACTTCTGCTCAGGTAAGTCAAGACTCTCACACAACTACTCAGCTGTTACTTCCTTAGCAGCCTTGCCTCTCCTCACAACCTCCTCCTCTTGAGAGTGACTTACGCTTACACTGCTGAAGCTAAACTAATAATGGCTAAACCTGGGAGAGCACAAAAGCATACTACAAATCACTGAGGATTATTAAGCATCCTGTATCATCCATCAGAAATCCTGCAACTGCTCAGGGATATTCTACTTCTAATCAACTGCTACTACTGCCTCCAGTTACCTTGCTGGCTCCAACTATCTCAGTTACTCCCCAGGAACAGAACAGCAGCACACCTTCCTGCACTGACGGCCATTTTTCTGAACCAAACAACTGCTCCCTTATTGCAGCTTTTGAGAGAAACATTCTATCCAGCCGCACTCCAGAAGATCTGCTATAAAATTAGCCCAAGAGTTCAGGCAACACTATACTCAAATCTGACATACTTTATTTTACAGATACACACAACTAGGAACTTAAGTGGCATCAGAACTCTGCATACTACACTCAAGCAATGTTCACCTGCAATTTCGTCAGGGAGATAGCCCCCAACATGTCCTGACCAAGTAGTTTTCATAGAACCACAGGCTGGGTTTGGGTCAGAAGGGACCTTAGAGCTCACCCAGTTCCAACCCCCTGTCATGAGCAGGGACAGCTTCCACTAGAGCAGGTTGCTCCAAGCCAGTCCAGCCTGGCCTTGAACACTGCCAGGGATGGGGCAGCCACAGCTTCTCTGGGCAACCTGTGCCAGTGCCTCACCACCCTCATAGTAAGGAATTTTTACCTAATATCTAATCTTGTTTATTTCTTCCCTGAAGAGCCACCTCTCACTTGAATAGCTTAACTGGAAACCACAATGTACAGCAAGTCAGCACAGACCTAGACAGCTCAGTATTTTGAGACGAAAGCATAAAAAAAAAACAAAATCCAAAACACACACAAATACTTCAGATGCCCCAGAACTTAAAAAGCAAACATTTAACACAACATTCAACTTTCCCTCAACTACAAGCAAAGCCCATCTAGTGGCAGGAGAAAGGCTTGAATCCTCAGCACTTACAGGTATCAAACATCAACCGGAAAGCAGCTCAGTTCCTATCTCTTAAAGACAGTCTTCTAGACACCTTAAACATCAAAGAAAGTGGAAACTCACTAGGTAGCCAGAAAGCCCTTAAAGAGAGAGAAACACAGCACACTTGCAAGCAGACTTCCCTGAAAATGTATCTGACATATTCAGCGTTTAAAAGAAATTTAACTAGTCACCCATACCATTATAAATCCAGAAAAATTAACAAGCATTCGATAACCACTGATAACACCCATATTACTCTCATTTACATGGATCCCATAAATAGAACCGCCCTTTCAGAACCGGAGCACACAAGCAATTAAAATAAATAAAGACATGTTTCTAGAGAACTGAATTCAGAAAGACAAATCCTACCTTGTTGAGTCTGCCTGTGAGATTGACAACAATCTTCCCAGCTCTGTGGTCATCAATTATCTCAAATTCGCCAATGTAACCTACAGAAGACGAGGAAACAGACAAATCAAACACATAACATTCAGCTACGTTAATACAACTCATTAACTGTGTTGTACAAAACTAGTTCAAGCATCTTGATTTACTTTTAGCCAAAAAGCCCCTCAACACAACAGCACCCGCAGAAGCCATGACAGGAGCCAGCACCGCACACTCTGCACTTACCATGCTTCATCATCACAGTTAAAAACCGGACAATTACTTTGGAGCACGGCCTAATGAGAACTTGACGTTTCCCACGTTTCTCTGCATTGTTGATGCTTTTAAGAGCATCGGCTAGAACGTTCATGCGCACCATGGTGCCTGCAGGGAAGAGGAGAGGCAGTTATGGACACTGGCCTTCCAGCACAGAAATGCTGAGCAACACAATTCTTAAAAGTCTAATTTTAGACCTAAAAGATCTAACACTGACAGGAAGTTACATTAAACCTTAACAAGCTCTCTTAGGCTAAAAAGCAGACTAAATCACATACTCATGTCTCAAAAGAATTTGCTATTATCATGACAAGTCAGGGAATCTGACACACTTACTTGAACTTGGCTTTATCAGCATGCACACATAAACATTTAAAACCACCATCCAGACAACATTTCATGGGTATTACACCTTTAACAGGTGATCGTTTGGGACTTTAAAAGCCAGTTATGCAGTATCAGCCCTGTTCTAAAACTGATTCGTAGCTGTTATTAAACAGATACTGTTCAGCTTGCTTATCTGCAATAACCCTGCAGGATGCATGCACAACACAGCACTCTTGAGAAGGGAAATCGGGATTCAACTCTAATTCCCGTGATAAAGAGCCCCCAGACTACCACAGACCACGACATGCCTCGGTAGTGTCGGGCTGCCACAGAGCCTGAGCACTGCCACAACCAGCCATGACGGTGCTCCTCAGAGGGGCCACAGGGCCATTCCCGAGATGGCCAAGTCCTGCAGCACATGAAGCTTTTAGCACTGAGCCAAGGACTCCAGACGAGCAGACCTCGTTAACTGCTGCTGCCCAGGGGCCGACTGCAGCCAGACCCCCGCCCCGAGGGCCGCCTCCTCTCCCAGGGCCCAGCACACCGCCCGCTCCCCACGCCCGCCGCTACCTCCTCCCCGGCAGCACGGTCCTCATCCGCCGAAGTCCACAGACTCCACAGTCAAGTTGCCCCGAGCCCTGCCCAGCCGGGCCCGGGCCTGGCTGCCACGCCAGCCCCCGCCCCACTGCTCCCGCCCCGCATCTCCGCGGAGAGCGGAGCCACAGGCAAGAAGGTACTGCCCCCCACCCTCCACTCGGCGGGCTCTAGCGCGAGACAGGGAACGCGCCGGCGGCTCAAAACGGGCGGGCCCCGTCGGGCGCACCCTCGCGGCCCGGACGCTGCGGTCGGAGGCGGCCGCGGTGCTCGGATGGGGCCGGGAGGCGGCGGATAGCGACCGGGACCCAGCGCCATCCCCCACTCACCGGTGCAGCAAGATGGCGGAAAAGGAAGAGGCCGGGCACCCGCGCGGGATTATGGGAGAGCCATGGGCGCGGGGTGCTGCGCGGCGCGAAGCGAGCTGTCGCGAGACTTGGCGTCCCAGTCCGGTGGCGGCTCGCGCCAGGTGCGGTCATCCTCATTGGCCGAGAGCTGCGGATCTCACTTCCGGAGCGACGCCGCGGCCCGGGTTCCTATAGCAACCGGGACGCTCCAGCGGGAGGCGCAGGATTGCACCGCGCGTTTCTCCCGTTCGGCCCAACGCGCCCACCGCCGCCCCTTTTACCGCTGTCAGTCAGCCACGGGTGACGTGAGAGCCCTCCCCGCTGCAGCAGGGGCGGCCGGCGTACCGCCACAGCCGACAGCGGCTCTGCTCTTGGCACAGAGCTATTTCGAACACAAGGTGTGCACAGCGAGTGCTTGCAGCACTAGAACAACACTTCCAGCTCCAGTTCATGAACGAAAGATGTGTTTTTCCACAAAGAAAAAGAACAAAGAACTTAAAGAAGTTTCTCTTTAATCTGTATTTGCCTATTGAACAGTTACAATGGACACTGAGGAGAGTTCATTTGAGAACAGTAAACTTTTAAAATATTAACACAGGTTTTAGCAGTTTAAAGAAAAAAGTTCAGTTTTTAAAAAAGGAAGGAGAGGTCATAGAAAAGCACAAACAATTCAGACAGGCTTATTTACAGAGACAACCCCAGCATATTCAACTGATTTTGTTTACAGACAACAACATTCATAAAACCAAACATGCTACATGGCTCCATGACAACAGCAGGTTTTCAAACAATCAGCTGTTAAGGTAACACACCTTAACTCATTTTCCTACAGTCTCAGTGCAACAAGTTGAAGTTTACACTACAGCTAAATGACTGAACTACAGATTTCTATATTCCAGATCCCTGTTCAACACATTAGTCAGGATATGCAGCCAGAAAAAAAACCCAAACAGGTTCAGTGAGACAATGGGATCACCTTCTTGCACCAATTTTGAGTACACACCCTCAGCTATCATCCTTCTTACTCAGCTAATGGTCCCCCCTTCCACAAGGATCAGTAGTCACAACCTCCCAAGGAAAGTCAGCTTTCAGAACTTTAAGCCTTTCATACTTCCTGTAGCCACACACTAATGATCAGTGAACTGAACACAGCTACAGAAATGCTATCGCACATTACAATTCAGATGTTAGTCAAATGGGGTGTTTATTTACAGGGCCTCCTAGTTTGGTGAAGACACTGAACAGGCTCTGTACATCAACAGACAGGATCTTTCACACAAGATCAACCACAGGCTGCAGAACCCCAGTCAGCACAGCAAGAGACACAAACCCCCAGCAGTTGCTACAGTGACATTTTCACTTTATCAGGGAGCCAGTAAAAAAACAAAAACAACAAAAGCCAGTGAGCAACACAACTTCTACTGAAATTATACATTAACTCTCAAAACTGTTCCCCAGGAAATCTTTTACAAGACTGAACAGCAGTTATGTCTTCATTCATTTTTCTTTTCCTTGTGCTTGAGAAGTTTGTTAATCTCCCTTTTTGCCATTCCAACATACTTCGTGATGATCCCATGCTGGTTTAGTCCAGGAAAAAGCAACAGGAAACTTACTAGAGAGGGGAAGGGGAAAAAAAGGAAATTACTTAAGTCCTTTAACAAGTTTCTGTCACCTGCGATTCCTGTGATTCCCTTAAGCCATTAAACAGAAAAATATAACCCTAAAAAAAAAAAAATAAAAAGACCCCCCCACACAAAATCATCACAATCAAAAATTGCTTCTACCCATCTCACACCATTTCAGTTAGCCAGCAAAAGTTACTTCTGTTTTGCATGCTGCACACTTACCAATAAGATAGGTCAGGAAGAGATTGTGAACTTGCTGTCCAATCCAGGCAACCACAGCAAGAGAAAAAAGCATGGTCATGAAGTACTAAAAAATGAAAAGGGAACAGTTATCACAGACCTGTTGGGAATTCTCTGCCTTTCCCTTCAGCATTCAGCAACACTTCAACATATAAAACTAACAAAGTTCAACTCTTCCACATGTGATGCTATGCCCAGGCTTGTTAAAACTGACATTACAGAGTCTACAGTTGTACGTTCTCATTATTTTCAGATCATCAGTTTTAAGGCATGGCAGTTCTTTCTGTCCAGACATCCCTTAAGAGTCAGACTATGCCATCCCCATTGACACAACCTCAGCCTCACACAGTACCTGAAGCTGTTTTCAGGACAGTAAACTAAACAGAGTTCATGTACCTAAGCTGATACATCGCCAAGATCTGTTGGGTTTCTTTTTTTTTGACAGTTTGTGTACACTGGAATCAAGCTGTGTTTCCAAAAATTAACCTATTCAAAGCAGCACAGTTCAGCTTTATCTTAATATATCAAGGGCATGCACCTAACTGCACAGTACTGCGAATTTAAAGTCATGTATCTTGCCACTCCAGTTTGAATAAGCTGTGTGACTGGCATTAAGTCATACCAGAACTGCTGGTTCTTGTCAAAATAAAGTGGTATTTCAAATCATGTCCCTTGCCACACTTAAGAAAAACAAAACCTTGAGACAAGAGAGATGAACTCCTGGCACTCAATACCATTTTAGGCTTCTCTTCCTTCAGTGTGAAGAGACGTTTCCACCAGCCAACAATACGGCGACGAGATTTAACCAAACTGCTGCAGATTTCATGAAATCTTTGCTGTTGTTCTGTAGTCCTTTTGTTAAGAAAAAAAAAAACACAAAAAAAACACCAGAAATAAGAATTCAAGATCCTACCCGAAATTTAAAAAATCTCCCATGGTATTTTTCCATCAGTAAAAAAGTTACCTGGTGGATATCCCGGCATTTGCTTCACTTAGTTTTATACATGTCTACATTGAGAATTGTAATGCAATTACCCACATAATTTTTCTGTACACTGACGCTCAAATCAACTCCCCAGGAGCAGCCCCATTCAAACCAATAGATCATCGATTTAAAACCGATACCAGTGTGACACACACCTGACACCAGTCTGTATCACTATGGCTTTTATGTTAGCTCATTATTAGACAAGAACATTTATCCACTAGCCATCTTAAAGCAGATATAGTAAAATTCTAACTTACTTCTAACTCAAAATTTAGTTACACCACATAAGAACGAACGACATTTTACCAGTGTTCTCACTTCACACTTTACAGAGATTGCAGATTTCTTACTACCAGGACTCTACAAAGTACTCATTTGTAAGTCAGACATCCAATTTTATGAAGTTCATAATTTATTTACACTCAAGAAGCTAGTTTAATTCATTTGTTTCCTCACCACTTGTTAGATCCAAAGATTCTAGGTGCAAGAGCAGGAACAAGATAATCAGCCAAACAGAGGAACATAACGAAACAGGAGACGCCTGAAAGAACTGATGGGTCCAAGTAGTAGATCATCCTGCAGAAAGAAGATAACATGACTTCTCAAATCTCAGACTGCTAAATACAAGACGTATTTAGTCACCTCTTCAGACTGGCTCAGGACTGCAAACAGCAGACCTACCCTCTTGCCCGACAAAATTTGCTTCATTGCTAATAAAAAGATGTTTAAGCATTTCAACACTATTACAGAGAAATATAGATGAAAAGCAGGATTTTTTTAAGTGTTAGGTAAAAAAATGCTACAATACAACAAGCACAGTATGAAGTTTGATAGAAGTAAAAATTCATCACCATTGTTCTCTCAGAAGCTGACATCTAGTGGACTCAACACTGACTGGGGGATGAGTGAGTGAACATATAAAATAACCAGGTAGAATGAAACCTCTCATCTTGCTGGTTCTTAAGTAAGTCACAGAAATCAGATCCACTACAGGCTGTCATTTGCTCTGTCTCACCTGTGAGAGCTAACCAAACCTGTTCTGGACAGGCAGCCATAAATCTCCAATTAGGACAGTGTTGTGCTCTCATGTATTGAGTGTGCATCACTCAAATACAGCAGTATATATACTGGACAAGAACCAGCTCATCTCACAAGCGTTTCTGAATGCTCAGCTGTGCCCCATGCTACTTATTTGCACTTAACAGAGCTTTCTGAACACTGGAGTAATAAAAGAAACAACACAGTCCATTGTAGGGATAGCCTTTCTCTACACTTTGCAGAGTGCTAAATGTGCTGAATGTTCAAGCTTATTTTTGATGAAGTACCAACTCAGAATCTAAATTAGTTCTATTTCCTCAAAGTATTACTGAACACATGATCTTTCCTGCTATAATCACACCATTTGTAACATAATAGCCTGAAGTTCATGCAATTTTCAGTTTCATTTGATTTCCATCCTCCTCACCTCCCTTGAAGACCATAAATTTTGATTAGCTAGAAGACTGATTATCCCCTGCCTCACCTGGTTCAGCATTTATTTTTGTAACTCCCCTCTTCTTACTCCAAAGACACACGCAACTGGCAAACCGCACAGCTGGCATGGACACTTATTTGTACAAGGCAGGTTGGGGTCAGCCATGTAACGTAAAAGCATGTACAAGTGCCACCAGCAAGCCAGTTCTGTATCTCCAATCCATAGATGGGGAATCCTCCCATACTGTTGACTGAAAGTTACCTGCAGTCCTTCCTTTTCCTCCTTTCTCAAAGGACAGGACAGAGAATGTAAAACCTGTGCTTGCCTTATGGAAATAAGTTCTTCATGATGATATTGCTATTGGTTTTGGGAAAAAGCCAAAGGAGGAAACAAGATTTCACTAAGAAGCAGGAATATGAAGACACTGAGGAAGGACATACAGCTGAGTGTGGTAAAAACTACAGCAACCTTTGCTGCCAAACAGCTTTCACAGAAAGCACTCCCTTCCCTCTGAGCTGGATGGGATTTGTTTTACTTCCTGGTCTCAATATTTAAGGGTTTGGGTTTTTTTTTCCAACAAAGTTCAGGTTCTGTTTCTGAATACGTGTAGAGTAAAAGCCTTCCTATCCAGGCCTTAAAATTCTCTTACTAATTTACTTAGTAGGCTTGCTGCCAGCCATGAAAGTGCAATGGTGCTCTAGACTCCCTTCACAAGCTACTTACAGAAAAGAGAAGGAAACAACACTCATTAGCGCCAGAGGGAACCAGGCTCTCTCCCAGCGAAGAACTTTATCGGTCATCAAAATCACT